CCTTGGCTGCTGCAGCTCTTCCTACGGCAGGAGACTGTGCCGGTCCGGCAGGGTGGTCAATTTTCCGGCCGGGTCTTTTCGCGCATCTGAGATCCCTCCATTTCGTTCCTCCAAGGCCCTCAAGATTCCAAAGGAATTGGGAGCGTATGGGAGCGTCTCGACCTGCTTTCCCCGGTCATGGTTCCATGGTCTGCACTCTCGGAAACCGCCACCCTGCAGGGCCCTGCAGGGGAAATGTTTCGGGAGCACGTTGGACCGCTTTTCGGTGACTTCGTGGGGTTGGGTCCAATCGCTTGTCAGGCGCTCTGGAGCCATTTGGAGCCCTTGCGTTTGCTCCCTGAACTGAAGAAGCCGATGGACTGATGCGTTGCGATAATTTCACATATGTAGAGTTCGCAAATATCAGTATGTAATAGACCACAGTATAGCTCGTGCACTGCAGACGTCGTTTCATGTCGTTTATTCAAATCAGTCCAAAATGCCAAGAAATATATGCTGAATGCGGCGAAAACGCCAAGCCTGCAAGGAAATGTTTTAGTTTTTTGGCATCACAGCGAGTGGGGCTCCAAGAAAAAAGTTGCAAGGGAAGCGCCGAATTTCGTATTTCGCGATCATTCGTGATCAAACAATATCAAGCAAACCATGAGACCAAGCTTCGGAGTGCCGATCAAGCCGCACCGCAGGTACAACAATGCAGAACTTTGCCGGCTGATCATAGAGCTTGAAGCACGCACTTGTTCGATCGTGGACAAAAGGGCCTCGCTTTGACGAGATTGATTCGCCGAAGCAGGTTCTGCCAGTGACAGGTGACATCAGGTGATTACAGGTGCGTGTGTTTGCGTGAAGGGATTCAAAAAATGTCTTATATATATAAACGTTGTTTTAGTCATTTACTGAAGATTGTACCTTGCGTGACCGTGGGGGAGCGTGACCTTGGGCCATTGGGTCAGCAGAGGATGTGATCAGAGAGTTCTCATTGTTTTGTGTTTGGGAGGAGGTTATTCGACTACCCTTTTGACTCTTTTGACAAATTCTCCTGGAATGTTTCCAGCCTTTCTCTTCACGCTCGGAACCACGGTTTCCACCAGAAAAAAGACACCAAATCCCAGCACAGCAAAATTAAATGTAATTTGCCTACCCCCCCCACGTCCCCCCCTCTATACCAGTGGCCATATCTGGATATTTCTGGGGTGGGCTTCCTAAACTTCTTGGATGATGCCGGAATGTTTGCCTATGATCAGCCATCTCCCTTTTTTGAAGTCAACTTGGTCAGCTGTGGTTGACTATAGCCGTTTCTTGTTTGAAGGACAGCTGGGTCTTTGTTTTCCAATCATGAAGCCCCGAGTATGTGAGACTCAAGTTTTTTGTTGATGTTTGTAATTGCCTCGAGCAAATCCAAGGCTGAAATGGAAGGACGGGGCAGCGTTTGTTGAGGTTGAGAAGATCTGACGGGAACAGTCGAGATAGTGTATGGATGGATTGGAGGCAAAAGTGCTAGGATTTTTCTAGGCCATGCGTGCTCAGTCAGCAGCTGAAGATGTTGGTTTGTTCTTCACAGCTGCTTATTGATGAATGGAATCATTTGGAGAGCTTTGTTGCGGCATGTTGAGACCATTGGTCTTCATCATGCCCGAGACATTGCACGGAGGAGTCGTTTTACTGCCTTCACGCCTTCTCTTTTTTAGCTGGAGCCTCAGGGGAGCAAACGTGGAGCTTGATCAATGAACATCCCTACATGCCCATCACAGGCATGTCACGTTCCCAAACGCTCCATGGTGGCAGCATTTTTTTGGCAACCAAATCTAGGCAATTGTTGCGGTCCCATGGAGCATCTCTAGGATGATTAATATATTAGTTATAGCAATTTTACATGCATAATTCGTCATAATTCTGCCAAACCAGCTATTTACGAAGGATCTCCCACTACAACACCAGGTCCACCGAACTCTTTCTTCATTGCTGCAGGCGGAAGAAGACGCTCTTGGCACCGCGCCTGGGACGCGTTTCGCCCGCTTTCCCGCGCGGTGTCCGAAGTCGAGTCATCGTGTCTCCGGATTACCAGACGGAAATGGTGGCAGAAACAGCGGACACAGGCCGCACGCGCCGCAACGCCCGTGTCTTGCGAGCACGGCGGGACCAGTGAGGTTCACCCTTGGGGCGGCCAAAGAGGTGGAGCTGAAGTGAGTGACAGCTACATGGTGTCCGGTGACAGCCTCAGAAAGTGGCCTATAGCTAGTGGATAGCCTTTAGCATCTGTTAATTTTTTTTGGGAGATTGGTTTCTCCAGTGCCAAACAGGTGAAAACCACTGCCCAAACAGGTGAAAACCACTGCCCAAACAGGTGAACAGGTGAACTGCTATTGTCCAATCTGAGGGAGTCAGCCTACCTGGACCATTTGGTGTCCAAGGGAGAGCAGTCCATTGGAGACTCTGAACGGAATGGTACACTGTTGCTGCTTGGGCTACCCCCTCACTTTGAACTAGACTAGTTAGTCAAAGTGGTATAGGGAAAGGTAGAGGGGTTAAGCTACACAACCTCTAGTGAAGCCACAAGAACCAGGGCGTTTTTTTTCAAAGCCGAGCTTTTCACCGATGCAGCACGGACACCAGATTTGCCTGGATCATGACGCTCGTGCTGCGCGGGGCAGGGTTTGCCAGCCAAAAATGCGAATCAGAACTGACCAAGAGAGGTGGCCAGTGACCCTATAGGACCTGTCACCTGAGGTACCAGACTGGGATAGTTGAACTAGGGTCCTTCAACCTTTGTTCTTGTGTTCTTCAAGCGCCATCCCGATTGAGTGGTTTATGGACTCCACCAGTGGTCCCGGTTTTTCTGGAAACCTTTAACCTGTTCAGAGATGGGCTTCGCCACTCAAAACGAAGAGGTGGAAGCAAGGTCAATTCTATGTTCTAGGGAATCTAAGGGAGTCAGATGTGTTTGTTTTCCAATATGTTTCCAGCATTTTCCTGCCCCCTAGGCCGCTAGACTCATCGATCAAGATTTGGTATATCGCGGATTTGGGGTTCAGACACTTACTAACCATCATAATCATCATCACCATCATCATCATCATCATCATGCACATGGCAGGTGTGATGATTCTTGGCCGCTGGTATGCTGAATTTTCAGATGGTGGATCATTCAACTTCAATACACTTCCTGATGAAATCATGGAAGCGGGAAATGGCCTCCTGGATGACAATGTTCCCTACAAACAGGTTGTTTACTACTTTCATGACATCTAGGATTCGAGTGCGTTTGTCGCAACCAACGCAAACCTCGCGAGTTTGATGCCACACCATTCTTGCCCTGGTTTTGCTTAAGCTGATATTTACGTGGGGCTTGACCTAAAGGGGCGCTCAATGCTTTTGCCCTTCCATCATGAACACCATGTATATACATATAATTACACACACATATATATATACATACATACATACATACATACATACATACATACATACATACATA